GATATTCAAATTATTTGTTAATATATAATAAAATTATGAATAGCGATTATATTTTCAAGTACCAATTATGCAACAGTAAATATATAAGTACTAGTCAGATTACAAAAAATGGACAGACAATCAAAATTTTAATTTAATATAGATATTATTACTAATAGGAATATTATATTTCTGTTTCAAATATTATCGAACATTATACTTTTTAGTTCAGCTATACTTATATTTATTTTAGAAAATTTCAAGACAGTCTAATATGAAGTAAATCTAAATATTATTAGCTCACTACTTCTGTATCATATCTGTATTTGGTGCACAGGTACACTACCAGTATTAGTGCACTATTGTCATTACCAAGTATCCTGTACCAGCAACCCTAATTACAATATTTAGAATCAATTTTACTTAAACATAGAACGAGCCTCAAGAATTTCCCAAATATGCCAACCCTATCATTTGAAGGCTCCTTTTATCTTACATATTTGATTACTGAGAAACTATAGTATGATATTGAACTTCTTAAATCTGGAGTTGAAGAAAATATATTACAATTAAATTCAGAACAACAGATTATTTTAGTATAGTAGTTTTAGCAATAGAAAGTAAATATAATAAAATTATTTTTATAGATAGTCCAGAAGGTACTAGAAAGATCTTTTTATATAGGTTATTATTAGATAAAATTTGTTTACTTGGAAAGATTGTACTTGCAATAGCCTCTTTAGGTATTGTTTTTCTTCTTCTTGATGGAGGTCAAATAGCATATTCTCACTTCAAGATTCTGATTAATTTAGATGAAGTTTCTATATGCAATATTGCTTATAGAACTAATTTAGCATATTTGCTACAGCAAACTACTCTTATTGTTTAGTATAAGACTCCAATGATATGTTATTATACTTTTGAAGCTTTGGATTGTACTCTAAAAGATCTAATAAAAGCCACTAACCCTAATTTAGAATATCATCCTTTTGGAGATAAATTGTAGTATTTGAAAATAATTTTTAACAAATATTATCTATAATATCTAAAGATACAAGAGAAGATATCATAGATTTATGTTTACTACAATCATTATTGTGACAGTATATCAAGGTTATGAAGTTGATCAGAAATATGTATTTATTTCAAACTAATGATTCTGAATCAATTACAGAACAAATGCAATTTGCAGATTGGCTTCTACAACTTGGTGAAGGTCGCATACCATCAGTTTCAAAAAATAATCTTATTCAACTTTTTGATGATATACTTCTTTCTTTTCAGACTCTTCAGCATTTAATTGATTTTGTATATTCTGATTTGCCAACCTCTTTATATAATCTACAATATTTAGTAGAATGTGAAATTCTAACTCCAAAAACATTAATGTCAATTTTGTTAATGATATTATTATGAATTTGTGCTCAAATGAAGCAACTAAATATTTGAGTGCTGATTCTATTGACAAGACCTCTAATAGATATAATCCTACTTATAAAAATCTTTATCCAAATAAATTTTTAAATAGCTTAAAGTTAAGTGGTATATCTTTACACAAGCTATTATTAAAAGTTGGCACCCCAATAATTATTCTTTGTAATATAGATCCTACAAACAGTTTATACAACAGAACATGCTTGGTATGCCAAGGTTTTACAACTAGAGTTATTGATACTGAAGTAATTACAGAAAACATGTGGGTGCTCAAGTTTTTTCTTTCAAATTGTTTTTACCTTCAACAATAATTTTCCTTTTATTTTTAAGCACTTCAATTTTCTGTTTAACCTGCTTTTGCCTTAACAATTAACAAAGCTCAAGATCAGACCTTGAATACAGTCAGTGTATATTTATTATCTCCTGTATTTTCTCATGGTCAGCTTTATGTTGCTTGCTTATAAGTCACCTTCAAAAATAATTTGAAGATTCTACTTATAGGGCAATATGCTGAAAATGGCTGTACTTTAAATATCATTTACTTAGAAGTATTGTTATAATTTATTTATTTATTTTTTTTATTTATTTGTTTATTTTTTTTATTTATTTGTTTATTTTTTTTATTTATTTGTTTATTTTTTTTATCTTTACTAAAACTATTTACTACAAAATAATCTTTTAACAAAACTATGTTCTATTTTTACTATAAGGCTATACAAAGTTAATTTTTTGGTTCTCATAATATAAAATTTGAAAACAACACAGCAACCTGACTTTTATTTTTATTTCAAAAAATTTTTATATATAAAAAGCATATAAAAATTTTTATAAACTTCTAAAAAAATTTCACCTGAATAGTAAATATAGTCAAAAATTTTTTAAGAATTCTCAAAATTTGATCTAGCAGGGTTATAAGAACCAATTTATTAAGTTTGTATGACCTAAACTACTTCACTACTTATTTTTTTTCTATTACTATAGTCAGACCTCTATATAATCACTAAG